TACCCTCCACACTTCTTCAGGTGTCTGATAATCTGGCTAATCTTCATGGAATTTTGAAGTGAAACCTTTATTCCATACATAGAGGTAGATTGTTCTCATTCCATTGTCCATATCTATGTATATCTTGTCTTGGTTAATTGTTTAGTTACTATTAGTCCTATTTCCACTGAGTTTGTGTATGACCTGCTCCAAGAATTGAATTCACAATTTATATGCCACCAAATTCACTAAACTAGGAAAAATCCTGAAGCTATAATTGGATAGCCTTAAGCCTAATACTCTTCTTGCCACTTCTGCTACTGTTCCAGCCTTACTGTTAATCTTGGCTGCCTTCATTGGTACTTTTCTCTTTTTGTTTTACCTTCCTTTTTGTCACAGTAGTCTTTTTTCCATACCCAGTGTTATTATCTGCTGGTGTTTCTAGTACATGATGTTCATGTTTCTTAATGGATCCATACTGTAATAAATATATGCTAAGCTTGCTGAGGAGGCCATCATAGATGTGCATATGTACTGATTTCTTCAGTATCTAGTATTTTACTTCATTCCACAGTGGTTGATGAGCTCACTTTTCCTTCCATACCTGAGTAGCATAATAACAAATGACAGAAATTGTGACAAAGAAATTCAAAGATATCTAGGAATAGTAAACGGAAACTAAAGAAAATATTAAAAGATAGGAAAATGCCATTAGAAACAAAGAAAAGTGTACTGAACTGTCATGTAATATCACTACTCACAGATGAAGAAGAAACAATGCAGCAGTGATGTGGTTCTACAGAAAGATGCTTAGCATAACATGGACATGTGTGTAACTAGGAAGTTTTAAGGAAAAAAGAAACTACAAAGAAACTTACAATCAGCAAGAGACTGTTGATGTTTCTGAGACACATAATGAGGACATATTGAATCAAGAGAAGCAGGGGAAACAGCGATTAACCTTTTTAACAAACTTGAAAGAATAAGTAGCAGAACAAAGACAAAGAGAGATTTAAATTTACTTAGAGTATCAAAAGACAGAACATTGTGGATAGCCATGATCAACCATATCCTGAAATCACATGATATATGCAAAAGTAATATATAAGACAAAAATTAATAGCAAATATTGTAACAGAGAGAATTTGGGAAACACACAGACATACACACACGCATGAATATTTTTTTTTTTTTTAAATTGGAGCGAATCTTAGTAGCGAAATTAGATCAGAGCAATTTTGTTTACTGAGGGGAAATCTGATCTAGTCCATTTGGAATTGGGTCATTAGAAAGACAATGGAAAATGATTGAAATAATTTTCATCGGTTAAAATTTGAAATAGAGCTTTAGTAAGCTATGAGGAACTTTGAAATTCACATGATTTTGGGCTGATAGCAGCATCGTGATAATCGCATGCGGGCCAAGGGTCGATTATGACCAGCCAGATTTATCTATATAAACGCATAGCTATGCTGAAAAAGTGCCAGACGGGAGAGGCTGTGATCAGTTGACATGTTGTCGCCGGTGTGTGCCGTCACATGCATGGGCACCCACAGGCGGCCGTTACGGGTCGCGGTGCTACAGAAATCCTTTCAAGAGAGTTGTTGGTTTGTCTGCCATCGAGTACAGTCGAGCTGGGTGGGGAGAGATCGGAGATTGAAAGTGATGTCAGAGATTGGAACCAAACGCCCGCTAACATATTTTGTTGATCTAAGTACGAAGAAGTGAATTACTCCTCCAACATCTAAGACTGCTACTGCTACTGTTATTACTACCACTGGAAACGGAAACGTCGAACAAGCTACAATAATCAAAAGGTTGTTTTGGTGCTTGTCTGTCGTCAAGTGCAGTCGAGCTGGGTGGAGAGATATTGGAGATTGAAAGTGATGTCAGGGATTGGAACAAAACCCCTGATAACATGTACTGTTAATATAAGTACCGCTGCTTCTTCTGCCATGAAGATTACTACTACTGTTACTACTGCCGAGTAGGAACACAACTATAAACTTTAAGCCACGCACAGAAATCTTTATCGCAAGAGTCATATATCATTCTGAGATAAGTTAATCACAACCCATTCTCTCTGTGTCTAGAATCCAGTGTGTGGCACCTTGCATTATTAGAAATATTCATAGAAATATGATTTAATTTTTTCTTACTCGGTTTACTAAACAGGTTGTTGATTTTTTTTTAAAACGGAAAATAATTGAGTTGAAAATAATTCACTAAGATTGTACTTGGACGATCCTAAGGGAAGAAGAAGGAAGGGGAAAGAGAGAGGTCGAGAAATACAAAAAAAAAAAAGCGGTCATTAACAAAAACACGAGTCAGAAAGATATCTTAGCTAGCATGTTGACCGAATTTTTTAAAGACAATTGGAAGAATAGAATTAGAAATAATAAAAAGAAAGAAAGGGAAAAGACATGATATCAAAACGGGCCGCTTGATGAAAACCAGATATCGGTCAAAGCATCTAGCCTACTTTTGCGTAGAAAGACATCTTATCAATTTGGATAAAGAGAAATTTTGGGAACAATGAAAACGAAATCTTAATCAAAGAAAAAGTGTCTTTTGGGTTGAGGGGAGTGACCGGTGGAACGGTATACAGATTCTGACCTGTTAAAAATTAGAACCCCCACATTGACGAGTGAAAGATGTTTTCAATTCAGATAAATTAAGATTTTCTGACTGCCGGGTCTGACACAAAACAAGAAAAAAAAAAAAAACGATTGTCTCAGATCACAGATGGCGACAATATTCTTTCCTGAAGTCACAACTAATTAGCGGCGGGCTGGTTGACAGAGCCCAGGTGAGAGAAAGCCAAGATTGTCATTTTTCGTACGTGCAGAAAAGGCAAAATTGGATTTTGTTTTTTTTAAAAACAAGAACGATGTAACCACGCCCGAACGGAGGAGAAAGGATGCTCGATCAATAACAATTGGTCGGAAACGGTCACGTGGTCTGCAGAAAAGAAGAGAAAGAAATGCCCGATCAGGAACCATTGGTCGAAAAACGGTCACCTGACATACGAGAGACTAAGAGAGATGGGTGTGCACCTCCCCACAAAAGGCACTGTGAGGAAGTAGGGGTGAAAACAATAGCGATAATGAGAAATCAAAAATAATGCGACTTTTGGAATTATCGAGAAAACCCCAGACGCCGACAGACCCACCCCAGTTTGTTGCGGCGTCAATAAAAGCAGGACCCCAGTCGACAGAAATCAGTTGAGTTGAGAGTTGCAGCTGGACCGCGGGCAGGGATAGAGCCTGAACGCGGGCATCAGGCCCGATTCACTCGCCCCTTTGCGGGCAAAAGAATCCTCAGACAAGAAATCCTTCCAGCCCAAGTCGAAGACAGAAGAGTTCAGCCCCGGACGGCAGCGAGAAGAGATCACCTCGGATGACAGAGAGTTGCGGCTGAGTTGCGGCAAGAGATCCTTCCAGCCCAAGTCGAAGACAAGAGAACTTCCAGCCTAAGTAGACGAAGGAGAAGAAATACAACTCAAGTCGAAGAGAAGAATCAACTGCGAATGATCGATAGAAATTAGCCCCAGTGTCGAACCAAACCACACTCCGACATACACAATTCTAAAGAGTAGGCAATTCGAAATCTTTAGGTTGTGTGATAGAAGCTTGGTGCCATAGTCCACAGAGCGGGTCGGGAATTGAGAACAATTTTGTTTTTATGTAGCGGACATTAAGATATAAAGGGTTGTTACCTTTTTTTTCATCAGCAATCTTTTTGTCTCGTGAGTTTATTTTCTCTTTTATTTGTGTTTTGCCACCCCCGTCGGACTCAACTTGTATCGGCCCCAATCCCTGCTGGTCCCGTCTGTCTAAGATCTAAACACAGCGTGGGTAGACAGACCGGAGATCGGTACAGTTGCTTTAGTGACCAGGTATTGGAAGCGAGTCGGGAAAGGCGAGGCTGGTGATCATCTGACCAAGGGGTTGGAGCGGCACGCTTGGACCCAGGAGGAGCGACCAGGAGGAGCGACGTCACCGTTGGCGCCGTAACCAAAGGATCCGACCCTGGGCCAGGTGTGTAACCGTCACAAGTGTATGAGTTTTTACATCAATTACTTTTCTTTTCTGTAACCTGTTTCTTTTCTCTACTATTCTTTTCTGCTATATAAAAAACATTAGCAATTCAATCATTGCATAGTTGTTTGTCCGGCTTTCTGCGGATGTTAATTTTTTTTTACTGCATTCTAAATTTTTTAGCACAGACTCTCCAGTCATGTCTACATCTTCAGTCAACTGTGAATGGATGAACATCACTTCTGCTTTCTGGATCAAACCAGTCACAATGTGGGCAGGAAGCAGGATTAAACCAGTGGACCAGTCGAATGATCTATGGATGCTCAGGGGACCTACAGCCATTCCCTTAAGTTCGATTAAGACCAAGTAGACACCTCAACCCAGAGAGGAAGATGTCGGAGGTTGAGGAGCTGGGGCGAAAGTGTTAGATATATACACAAACATTAAACAAAATTTTCTTTTCATAATTCAGATTGTTTTAAAAGGAAATAGTGTACGAAACAATATTTTCATTCAGAGAAAACCAATGGTTTTGTTCTTACACAATCAATACTTACAATTCATCATTGACTGCTCAAGACTAATATTTTTAGCCTTTTGTGATTATCATTTTCTTACAAAATGTTCAACTATGTGCATGTGAGAACACAAAATGTTTCTTTTAGTAAGAATCTTTTTATGTAGGAGTTATAAAATAAAAATAAAATTCATTATCCTAAAATATTTTTACTTTAAAAATAATTTTTAAAGTAAAAATATTTTAGGATAATGAATTTTATTTTTATTTTATAAAGTAAAATGAGAAAAAAATTGATGTAACTTAATTTGAATTTAAAAAAAAATGTTCAGAGTAAAGAATAGCAATTGAATATTAATTTAAAAACTATTTTCAGAGTGAAAAAATTATGAAAATGTTACTAGTAGATTTCATTTAGTTAAAATGATATTTTTGTTTCACTGCTAAAGCAAATATTTTTTTACCTCCATCTTTCCAATTTCAGCAGCCAGTTCATTATGATGTTGCTCCAGGATAACTTTGGTTTCTTCCATAAGTTGTTGACGCCCTTCCTCCTCTGCTTTACTTTTTTCTTTTTCAAGTTGCAATTCAGCAGCTTCTATCTCAGCATTCTGTAAAGAAACAGAGGTTGGATTTAAAATTATGTGTGGATGATCTATAAGTTAAAATAATGTATGCTTAAAAAATCCTTGACAGGATACTTATACAAAATAGGATATCAACTTGTACAACCCTGTGTGTTTGTATTTCCAGCAAATTTTACATCAATATTAATGAAACTCATAGGATGATAGAATTTCCTAATATAATATCACTTATAATGTGAACAAACTATGAATGAATGTATATGCATAAAATGCATGTAGATGTATGCCTGTATCTATGTGCTTTGAGTGTGATTAATGTAAACAAAATTTTCACATCCTTTAATATTTCATTTAGTTTCTAGAAGACATCTTTTTGTGCACCTTTAGATTTCTGTGTCACATTTTCTGTTACCTCTAGTTACACTAACGAGATATTAGATTTCTGCACATGCCTGATTTTGATGTCCTCAAGACATAGCTGACACTTTGGGCTCTCTCTCTTTTGTTAACATCTTTGTATTCTGCTTTTTTATAGTTAAAGGTTAGTCTGTTCTTATCTCTTTCCATTACTACATTATTTAAGATTTCTTTCAATTTTCCTTCTGTGTCAGCCATCATCACAGTGACATCTGCATATCTCAAGATTATATTTGCTAATAATAAATCCTGGAATGTCTTCAAGCTGTCTTAGGATTGTCTTGCTGCATTGGTTAAATAAACCCACAGAGAAAATGAATCCTGTATTTTTATTTATTCAATGACATTGTTCTCAGTCTGCATGCAAGCTGTTTTCCCAGCAAATGTTACAGATTACTTTAACATCTTTCCTGTATAAACCAAGCTTTCCTAGCATTTCAAGCAGGTTTTTGTGCTGTACCTTGCAAAATGCTCTTGCGTAATTTATAAGACATAGGTATAGTTCTGTTTGTATTTGTATTGCTTGCTCTGATAATATTTTGATCATAAAGATCACTATTTCTGGTTCTCATGATTTGAACAAAGATACCTAATTCTGTTACAAGTCTGTTTATTAGAATCTTAATGATAAGTTTGGTTATCTAGTTTATCAAGCTTATTATCTGGAGTTTGCTTCTCTGGCATCACCATGAAGATAATCTTCCACTATTTTACTACTGTCATTTATCACTCTGGTAATCTTATTGATCTTGAAATCACAGTCTCACATGCTACTTTTTTCTGTTCATTTCAGCCAGTGCTGACATTATCTCAGATTTTAATATTACATGTCCTTCCATGTATTGTAAGTTTCTTTTCTCACCAGTCATAGAAGAGTGCTCTCCGATATATAAATTCCATCTTTGTAGTATCATTTATCGGTCAGGTTAGTTTTGTCGGCAACACTAGATTTGTTTTTTTAGCAGGAGTAAATAGTAGTGTCGTCTGCATAGATGCCAACTTGGGAATCTATGATGTCAGGAAGATCATTAATGAAGATAAGGAACAGAGTAGGGCCTAGGATAGGGCCTTGGGGAACACCTGCGTTCTCTGGCGGAGAATGACCTTCAGTGTACGGTTTGACAGAAATGATTGTATTTTCGAACAATCGACCTGAAATTCCATAACTCTGAAGCTTGTGAAGAAGTCTGGCATACCAAACCCTATCAAATGCTTTGGAGATATCTAGAGCCATGGCACAAGCTTCTCCGTTATTATGAAGTGCTTGGTAAGCAATTTCAGTTATGGCTGTAAGCACATCAGCTGTGGTTAACCACGTCAGTATTTTTGCTTCAAAGACTTTGCTGAAGAGTGGTAGGAGACTGATAGGATAGTAATTAGAAGGGTCTCCAGAGTTCTTAAAGACAGGAACAATGGATGCGGACTTCCAACAGGCTGGAAAACAAGATTCCTTGAGGCAGTAGTTATACAATTTGGAGAGGGCAGGGACCAGTTCAGGCGCACATTTCTTCTGGACAATGGCTGGTATCCCGTCTCCACCACTAGCTTTGTGGAGGTCTAATTTAGAGATAATGCCCAATACTGATGACAGGGTTATGTGCAACTTACTCAATAGAGTCTCAGTTCTAAGGGGAAAATCAGGTGTGGATACACCGGAAGAATCACTTGTCAGCAGAAGAGGTCAGAACCTCAAACTGGTTGAACAAAGGAGGTATAGAGGGTTTGCTATTGTTAAGTACACTCTTGCAGCAACGCCAATAATCCTTGGAGCCGAATTTGCGAGGTGCAATACGTTCTTTCATTCGAGAAGCAAATAGTGACTTAGCTTCATTGAGGGCATGCTTACACTCATTACGGGCAGAGACAAAGAGATGTCTGTTGCAATCAGACATGTCACTACGATATAGGTGGAAGAAGTGATTCCTATGGGCAATGGCAGCTGAGCAAGCAGCAGAGAACCAAGGAGAGGAGTGCGATTTGACCTTGAGGGGATGAAAGCCTTGATTCCAGCTTTAACCCAGGAGAAGACCGTGGAAGAACATTCTTGAATGGGGAGCGTAAAGACAACATCCCAGGGGATAGAAATCCTGGAACAAGTCCCAGTCTGCTCATTGATAGCAGAACAATGTTCTAGTGGTAGGAGGTTCTTTGCAATATATATATATATATATATATATATATATAGTAGGTAACTGGTATAGCATGTCAGATCAAATGATGGTTTCTGTATAGGAATATAGGTTTGCTTCCTGTTGGAGAGCATATATTTTCTATGAAATTTATCGAACATTTAGGCCAGTAAATGTAATTAATACTATTTAATTAAAAAGTATAAATAGAAAATAAATTCAATAATTGTCAGACAATCCATTTTTACACACACACACACACACACACACACACACACACACACATATATATATATATATATATATATATATATATATATATATATATATATAGTGGACTCTTCTGTCAGCATTGGATGGTGCCTTTTGTTTTACACTTATGCATGATATCAGCGGCTATTGTGGAGAAAATCAGGTAAGGGAAAGACATATTTCATTTGTGCTTCCTTGAGTGTGATACTAGCCCAGCCTTGCTGCAGGTGACAAAGCCACAGTGACAGATGAAATTTGTTAAAGCAGGATTTTGATGGCATCTCTGATTCAGAACTTGATGAAGCTAATCACAGTGCTTCAGTCTACTGTCTTCAAAAACCTTTAACTTAATGAAACATGTCTTATGACACTCCTTTTGGTTTGATGCTTGGGATTCCCAGGTTTTCAGATCAAAATTGAGATGTTTCAAGTTGTCTTTGTAGCGTAAGAGTTGATGTCCAACTGAACGCTTGTAGTTTGGTAGTTGTCCATTCAGCACCTTTTTTGGAAGCCTATGCTCATCCAGCCTCACAACATGACCAGCCCATTTAAGTTGTATCTTTGCTAGAATGGTTTCAATGCCTGTGATGTTGTTACATTTCTCCAGTATTGCACTATTCTTGACACTGTCATCTCATTTTATATCACATATGGCATGTGAAAGTTGATTTATGTGATTGTGGCACAAGGTCCAAGTTTCAGCACCATAGAGAAGGGTTGAGAGAATGACTGATCTATATATGTCAATCTGTATTCTGAGAGACACATCTTTGCCAAATGCTGTGCTGACTTTGGCTATTCTGGATTGGATTTCTCTGTCCATTTTTCCATCAGAAGAGACTGTTGTTCCAAGATATGTGAACACCTTACCAGTTTTTAATGCTGTAACATCAATGAATACAGAAGTATTTGAGAGAGATGGATTGCCTGGTACTGGCTGGTACATTAGCTCAGTCATCTTTATGTTGATAGTGAGTCCAAATGCTTTTGCTGTTTCAGAGAATTTAGCAAGGATACATATACATACATACATGCATACATACATACATACATACATACATATATATATATATATATATATATATATATATATATATATATATATATATATTATATATATTTATCATTTAATTATGTCCTACAGGGTTGTTTGATGGACCTGTGGTTTCGGAGCTAATGGGCCTGTTTATATTGAATAAAATTTACAAAATTGTTCATATTGACAGCCACGGCTTTTATAGAGATGATGGGTTAATTATTGTACCTGACAACAGAAGAACAAATGATATAATTAGAAAAATGTTTTCAAACACTTCCAGGATTTTGATATCATGGTTGACATGAATAAAAAAGTCCTTCAATATTTGGATGTAGAGTTCAACATTTCAGCCAACACATACTTCCCATATATAAAGCTGAACACAGTGTTGAAGTATCTAAACTCCAAATCAAACCACCCAGCAAAGGTAATCAATCATCTTCTGAAAGGAATTGAGTGTAGACTGTTGAGAAATTCCTTGTCTAAAGAAATTTTTGAAGAAATGGAAAAAGAATATAAAACATCATTGAGTAGGGCACAAAACCATATTAATCTTCAAAGCTAAAATAAAAACCATATTAATCTTCAAAGCTAAAATAAATCAACAATTGAGGAACAGAAACGGAAAAAGAAACAAAATCTGATTTAACTCCACTTTTAATTTGAAAGTAAAAACTAATATAGGGAAGATATTTTTAAGCTGATTGAAAAGCATTTCCAAAAGTCTTCTGAATTAAACAGAATATTTAATAGAGGTATGGCAAAACTGAGCTATAGCTGTCCTAAAAATCTGGAAGACATCATAAAAAAGAACAATACAAGGAATTTCAAGATGAACACACAAAGCAGTAGTACCAATAGTAATGCTTGTAATTGCAGGGATAAAGGCAAATGTTCATTGGGTTGTCTCTGTAATATGGAAGGAGTGATCTATAAGGTAGAAGTGGAAGATAATAGCAGGCAGAGAAGTTCTACTTGTGATGTACAGAAGACACATTTAAGCAAAGATGGTACAACCATAACTCTTCATTTAAATTGAAAATACACAGGTACCATATCAAACTTCCAGCCACATGTGAAAGTTAAAAAGTAAAAAAAAATACAATAGAAGCCCTAACCTGAAATCGTGTATTTTGAAAAAAGGTCAAGTCTTAATGCATTAGTAAAGTGTTTGTAAATTATGTCAA